AAAGTATTGAAGTATTTAAAAAAAAAATTAAATATATGTTTTTCAAAAAATGAATAAGTATTTTTTTTTTTAAAACAAATTAACTTTTTTTAAAAGTTTTTTTAATTATTTTTTTAAGTTAATTATTACAAAAAAAAATTGCTTAGAACCCGTCGGTTCTACCAGGTAGAACCGAAAACCCAACCGTAAAGAATTGGAAATATTCGGTTCGGTTCCGGTTCTGATTTATGTCTAGATTATATCTAAGAGGCCCTAAAAATAAAATAAAATATATGAGTATGTGTCTGTTATACCGATATTATTTATGGGATATATATATATATATATATATATATATATATATATATATATATATATATATATATATATATATATATATGTATAAATAAAAGATTGGAATTGCATAAAATAAGTATGAATAGAAGACAAGAAAATGAAATGTAAAAAGAATAGATAGAGAAAGATGTAGTAGATATTAAAGTTGCATAAGGTTAGTGAGTGCGTGTAGCGAAGAAAGCTTTAGAAAGAGTATAACTGATTCATAAAGACAAACATATGACTAGATATTCTACTCACTATTCTCCTATACGAAACCGACCGTTTGATTTGACGTTAACGTCCCCATATGTTTTCGCACTACCCTGATATCGACCGTTAATTTTCACACTCATTTTTAACGTCCATTTCTACAACTTCACATTGTGATTTCCAAGAAAGATTTAGTGTTAATTTTTTAGAATTCATATTTATCTTCCAACCTTGTTTTGTTTGGTTGAATTCATTGTACTATATATTTTGAATCTTTTTAGAGTTTAATTATTTTTTAAGTTATTGTGAAATTTACTTTATTTAAATTCATTTGCTCATATCATTATATAAAATTCAAATTCATCAAATCAAATACAAGTGAGAGGGTTAAACAAAAAATTGTTAATTTTGTGCAATAGTCTGTCAATTAATGATAAGTGTCGTTTAAGGTAAAACACGCAATTAAGAAATATAATAAATAGCCTATGTTCCTTCTATGAAAAATAAAAAATCTCAAACCGCCCTTTACATGCCCTTTTCTTTTAATTTCAATAAGCAACGTGAACAATCAATGATAAATGGCAAATTATGTAGAAAGAAACTAATTTTTATTTGAAATTCGAGAGTAATACTTAATATGAGAAGAAAAAAATACGGCTAAGCGACACTTGTTTTAAAACAGAGGTATTACTGTAAAGAGATCTGGAAAAAAAAACATGTTTCACCACTATATGATATTTTTATTTTAACTAATTTGTATTTGATATTATTATTTTCATCGATAAGAGAACTCGCTGTAACTCAAGATAATAAATTGAGCAAATTTCTGTTATCGTGCAATAACTCGTAAACTTCAGAAGATGTAGAATACATCAGGGTAATCGTGTGACAAACATAACTAGAAGTAAGATATATTAACACTTGTAGGTACTAAGTTTATTTGATAAATGTGACTGAATTGTATTTTCCGTTTTCTATGTTCTTGTAGCAAAATTATTAAAAGAAAATGTCCTCACAAGTAAAATAACTAATTTGTGACCAAAATAAATAAAGTTGGTCAAATTCGTCGGCTTTAGTAGATAAGAACTGGAATTGTCAGTCTATCACTACTCTGAAAATTACTAAAAGTTAAATTATATTATTTGTTGATATATGTTTGACGAATTGAATTTAGGAATATCGAACTCTATCCAAGTGATTTATAAGAAATTATGAAATATAATTATTAATAATGTATAACATGATTAAAACTCATTTAATTTAAAGGGTAAATTACACCCACACCCCTGAGGTATGCTTAAATAACTTTAAGGTCCCTGTGGTATTGATAATTACACTCACCCCCCTGAAACGTAGTTAGAAACTCTAACGGGATAATGCATTGGATACATTATTCCGATAGGGTTCTAATGGACTATGACTGGTTCTAATTTACCCTAATTTAAAACATAACAAGTATATATATTTAAATTTTCATGAAAAGTCAAATTAATTCAATTCGTAATACATTCTCACTTGATTCTACCTTTTTTTTCTGGGTAATGTAAGAATTCACATTCAACCTTATAGCTGCACTGTGTAAAATCCACCGTCTTGTATTATAGTTTGTAAATCATACGATAGACGTAAACAACATTAGACTAATCATGAGTGATGAGTTCGATTTAACAACCACTTACTTTAACCGCTATGTCATCCTTACGAGACAACACTCGATTTTACTTGAATAGTGCTCACAAGGTGGACTACTCGGATAGAAAATTATGCTTAGATGATGTAGTAACAATTTATTGCATTTTATTATATGCTACACCAAATAAATTTTATTGATTTTATTTTATCAAATGCAAGTATAAATAATTATATATACATATTTTACATAGATGTATCAAAGTTTAGTATCAATAATAATATATAAGAGTAAAAAGCAGTTTGCCCCCTAAACTAAGGGTCGATTTGCACTTTACCCCCCAAACAAAAAAAATTTGCACGTTTTTACCTGAACTTGTTAATTCGTTGCACGGTGCCCCCTAAACTCAATTTTCCGGCAATTTTAACCGGAATATGAAAACATGTGCTTTGCACGTGAAACTTTTAGGGGTAAATTTGTCCCTTCACTTGCATCTTTAATATTAAATACAAATAAATATTAAAAAAAAAAAAAAGAATAAATAAATAAAGGTAAAAAAGCTGTTCTTCAAGCTTTTCTTCCAAACCCGTCAATGGCGGCCGCCAAAGAACAGAAGCACAGCCTGCACCCATACATCGAACTCTCCAAACTCATTGCTCTAAAGGGCCACAAATCTCCTTCATTTCAACCCCAAGAAACATCGACCGCCTCCCCAAACTGCCTTCAATTTTCGCTTCCTCCATTAATTTCGTCAAAATCCCACTCCCGAAACTCGAATAACTCTCCGAAACACAGAGGCAACAATGGACATCAATGGCGGAGAAATGGACTATCTCAAGAAAACCATATATATATTTTACCATATATCGCAGCACATATTAAGCGAGTTAGCAGATGCAAATGTTAATTGCTACAAAACCATATCGATATTTGAGTAAAAAGCAGTTTTCTTGAGGGGGGAAAATCGAAGAGAAGATGAATGCTAAATTGGAAGAAGAGGAGCAAGATAACCACTACCACCAAGAGGAGAAAGAAGAAAAATTGATGAGAGTCGCCATCCTCCGCAACCCCCTCTCCGACCGCCGCATCGCCGCCTTCTCGCCCAATTCCTACCGTCTCCCAGCCTTGCCGTATTCTCACCGCCGCATATCCCTCTCAAAACCCTCAAAATCAATCACCGCTTGCTCCGTCAATCACCCAGAATCGAACCCGTACCCGGTTCGCCGTTCGAGACACGCTATCCGTTCGACCCGGACATTCGCGACAATCGGCGCCGTAGCCCTAGCCGCGTCGAAAGTCATCGCCCCCCACTGCGGAGGGCTGTTCACGCTGGCCGTGGAGGTGAAGGAGTCGGTGGCGAAATCAGCGGGGCCGGCGGTCTTCGCGGCGGTGAGGAGAAGCGAGCTGAACACGCCGCTGACGGTGGTGGCGGCGGGATGGCGAAGTGGCTGGACCTGTACAGCGGGATACTGACGGTGAGGTGCATGCTGAGCTGGTTCCCGAATATTTAGTGGGACAAGCAGCCCCTTTCCGCCATTAGGGATTTGGGGCTGTTTAGGGATGGGTTGGCTTTGTGAGGGTGGTGGTCGACGGGATGACAACTCCTTTTTTCTTTCTTTTTCTTTTTTTTTTTTTTTTTTTTGTTTAATGTTTATTTTTTAATGATTAAAATATAGAATGTTAGTGAATGGACAAATTTGCCCCTGAAAATCTCATGTGCAACACACGTGTTGTAATATTCCGGTCAAAATTGTCGGAATATTCCTTTTAGGAGGCACCGTGCAATGAATTAACGAGTTCAGGTAAGAACGTGCAATTTTTTTTTGTTTAGGGGGCAAAGTGCAAAACGGGCCATAGTTTAGGGGGTAAACTGCTTTTTACTCAATATATAATACCATGGACTGGGTATCAAGTGAGGTACGGAACTGAGTGCTGTCAAGTGGGACCAGATCCTTGTCAGCAAATCTAAAGGAATTTATCCATTTGTTTGTCCGACATCACATATATCCACCTACACAATCTCTTCACTTGGTTTGTCCAAAATACCCCTCCTCCCCACACGCACAAAAAAAAAAAAAAATAAAAAAAAAATAAAAAAAAATCAAGAAGTGGATCATAAATTGGTTGGAGATTTTTCACTATCAACTATAGTGATGATATGTTTATTTATTTATTTATTTTTTTTCAATATTCCTCAATATCAATATGGTCCAAAAGAATTTCAATAGTAACAAAAACACACACGGACCGAGACTTGTGACTCTTATAGGCCACCACCGTTCATACTTTTAGTACTGGAAGAAATTTATCAGATTATTAAGCGTGTATATATCTAAAATATTTACAAATTCAAAAAATAAGTTGTTATAGAGTTTATACCTCTTTTTTTGTTTATTCATTTAAGATTTTATATTCACTAAAAATAATTTATAACCTCATCATCCAAATAAATATTCTAGAAAAACAATTTTCAACAACACATAACATCTTATCAACTCTTCAAAAAAAAAATTATAAGATGTAAATATCGAACTTATCAAATGTTTGTAATACACTCGAACACCCTCGTACTCGTACATTAGAAACTTGCATGTATCAAATAACACAAATGAAGATTCATTTCCAAAATATAATAATTTTAAAACAAGAGAGATACTTTTCCATCACAAATAACGAAAGAATTCTAATTTTCGAGATTGAAAATCTACAACAAATAAATAAATAAATAAATAAATGGATAAAATAAAGATATATACCACACTATATATACAGAAAATGAGAAAGGAAAGACATTTTGGTAAATTCACATTTAAAATAGGACCACAATTAAATTACAAAAAAAAAAAAAGAAAAAGTGTGACATTCTGAGCTCATCAATCCATTGTTGTCTATAAAGTATGAACTTACGAGTGAGGGAGGGATCTTGCATTTCATACTCCAACAACACAATTGTCTGTCTGAAGTCACTCAAATTTCCTGCACGACGTCGTTTTGTTCTGTAAGCTTTCCCGCTCTACTTCCATCCTTTCTCTCTCCTCCAAATTTTGATGATGAGTGAGAAACTGAGAATATATATATAGTAGCAGCAATAAATCATCAGTTCGTCACGCATATATTATTGCTGCCTAGTATTGTCAAAATTACATTTCGATTTAGATCTGTTTTGCGTAGAGTGCTGAATTTAATTTTTTTTTTCTTCCGAATTTCAGGGAAATTTAGGGACGAATTCTGAATTTTTCACCGTAATTAATTAATTAATTAATTATAACAAAATGGAGGGTGGTATGAAGAGGGATCTGTGTGTGGATGACGAATGCATGACGGAGATGGGATATCAGAAATCATATGGGTAATTTTTATTTCTGCCCTGCTTTAATTTCTCTGTTTCTCTTAATTTACCCTTATTTTGTTTTTTCATCTGCCCTTTTTATTAGTTTTAGAAATCATAAATTTAATGTAAGAAACAAAAATAAATAAATGTTGTTGAATTAATTAATTTCAGGTGCTCGCATTATCGAAGGAGGTGTAAGATCATAGCACCATGTTGCAATGAGATATTTGATTGCAGGCACTGCCACAATGATGCTAAGGTTAATTCACTCTTTTTTCTTTTTCTTTTTTTTTTTTATAATTTTTTTATTTATTTAATTGTTATTACATAGTTATTATTATTCATGTGTGAGCTTACTATGATTAATCTCAATTTATTACAATGATTCATACAAATACTAACTCATGCTATCTAAATATAAGCAGAACTCGATAGAAGTTGAACCACTCGATCGACATGATATTCCACGACATCAACTCGAAAGGGTTAGTTTTGTAATTTTGTTTCTCGCCGCCCTCGATTAGATTAGATGCTCCCTGTTTTTTTTTTTATCCTGTTCTTTTTATGACATTTTTTTCGTACAAAAAGAAAACAACGAACAAAGTTACTAATGTTTTTTGGAAGCAATTTTCTTATAATGTCGATCTGAAGTATATAGTAAATAATGTTTCATTGAACGAGTTTCGTTATTCGGGTCTTTGAAGCTTCGCCGATAATTTGCTTAGATTGTCATATTTCCTCTTTGATTGTGTTCCAATTAAGTAATCCTATATATATGTATCTATATTGCAATACTTTTTTATTTACTTATGTTGTTTTATACGTGTCTTCAGGTCATCTGCTCGTTGTGTAATACAGAACAAGATGTGAGTTCGAGATCTAGACTTCAAAAGTTACAATTTTCCATTATTAATTTCATTAATTGACGTTTCATATTTCGACTGTCGTGTAGGTTCAACAGATGTGTATTAATTGCGGGATTTGTATGGGGAATTACTATTGCTCGATATGCAAATTCTTCGATGATGATGTAAGATTTTTTCCCCAATCAATTCGTGAATAATTAACGTATCTTCCTTTCGTTTGGTGCTCCAATATTATATAATTTTTTTTTTGGTTGTTAAGGTTTCGAAGAATCAATATCACTGCGAGAAATGTGGAATATGCAGGTTTAATTTTTTAACCCTTCTGTTTGTACCTTCAATTTTTACGTGCATCTCTGTACATCTAATAACTTTCTCTCTTGTTCTGTGCCTGCTGTTTGTTACAATTAGAACCGGTGGCAAAGAATACTTCTTCCATTGTGATAAATGCGGTGAGTCACAGTATATATAGTCATAAATAAAATCTAATAATTTACTAGGGGTGTTCACTCGGTCGGTAAACCAACTGAACCGAAAAAACAGAATTAATTCGGTTAAAAACTGTACCGAAACCGAATAGTTCGGTTCGGTAAACGGTACAAATTTTTTAAGTACCGAAATTCCGGTACGGTTTTAACGAATGAACACCCTTATAATTTCCTAAATATAGAAATATTTGCGCAGTTAATAATTCAAATCGATTTTTTTTCTTTCTTTCAGGATGCTGCTATTCAAATTTATTGAAGGATTCACATATATGCATCGAGAGAGCAATGCACCACGATTGTCCTATTTGCTTTGAGGTAAATAAGAGTCAACTAATCCATATATAAATAATATCATTTTATCGTTTTGTACTAAAGAGTTTTTTATTTATTTATTTATTTGTTTTTAATTTTATTATGTCTGAATACAGTATCTCTTCGATACACCAAGAGACACTACGGTGCTTCCATGCGGTCACACCATACATCTTAACTGTGTTAAAGAAATGGAACGCCATTTCCAGTAAGATTTTTTAGTTAGTCACCCTTTTTTTCTCGTTTATAAACGGCCCTTCCAATTTTTTTGTATCTATAATCGACGTATATATATCTAACACATTAGACATATTATTGCAGGTATTCATGTCCTGTTTGCTCAAAATCATATTGCGATATGACTCGTATTTGGGAAAGGCTTGACCAGGAGGTGGGCTACAATTGCTATATAGTTATTATTAGCTTAATATCGACATTAATATTATTAACCGTCTCGTTTGTTTTGTCTGAAAAAATTCAGATTGCCTCAACACCTATGCCTCAAATGTATAAAGATAAAATGGTAAGATTAACAGCTAACTAATATACATATATATTATATATATATATATAATCAATGCCTAGCCTTTTTTTTATGTAAAATAATATTTTAGCTGAGACGAGCGATACTCGATTTTATTTTTTGAATTAGGTATGGATACTCTGCAATGACTGTGGAGAAACTTCGGAGGTGAATTATCATATTTTGGCACACAAATGCACGAATTGCAATTCGTACAATACGAGGCAGACTAGAGGAGGCCATAGACCATGCTCATCCAGGATATCGGAGATGGTTAGATGATCGGAATTTTTTATTTATTTTTTATTTTATTTTATTGTTTTATGTATATATCTTTTAAAGAATAATTGTGTCCATCTTGTATCAAACTAAAAATGCTAATGTAAAAACCTATTCCTCGATTAGGTTTTTCGGTCTTTTTATCATCCTCGGAGGACAAGTTCTAGATGTGTAATAATATATAATGACTTTGTTATGAAAATATATATTCTTTCAATATCTCTCAAGATTTTAGAAAACCGAAATATAAATTATTTATTAATACATTAAACAGTAGTTAAAAAACGACGAAACCGTGTACGATCGATCTTGAAGGTGGTTAGTCAATTATGCTAATATTTTGCAATAAAGGTGACCAAGTAAAGAATAGATCTTAATAATGAAATGAAAGTTGGAGGAACTAACATATGCTTTTTAAGGAAATTATTACAGAAATTGCTCTGTTCCAAGTTGCCAGAAAAAAAAAAACTCTTAATTAATTAAACAGTGTATTATAAATAAATAAATAAATCATATCGAAAGAAGATTGAAACTCAAAAAAAATCTTCAGTAAACATGAATTAGAATCAACATTCAACCAATAGAAAAATAAAAATAAAATTATTTTGTACTAATTTATATATCATCAATCGGTAGCACCTGGCCCGTAAAGGTATATGCCGCGCTTGTTGTGTGGCTGCAACGGCCTCGCGTTTACCTCCGCGTACTGTCGAAAAAAACCCGAAAAAGAAAATATTAAATACGAAAATATGATCGGATTAATTCTTGAAAAAAAATATTTAAATTAATTAGTACTTACATCATGAACAGCTTCTCTGAGCAAATTAACTTGCTCCCTCGAAACAGTCTTCACCTGAAATAATTAATTCAAATAAATATTAATTATTCGGCGAATTTTCGATTTTAAGTGATGCAGCAGATTAAATGAATAATGAGATGATAATACCTTTTTATTTAAGGTCCAAATAACACCTTCTGTACAAGGAGGAACTGTGAGTGATCCCATGTATCTGTAGTACCGTTTGCTGCGTAATTTAATGTCGTTCGGATTAATCATTCCGATATTTACCTGTTCGTCCTTGTTATCCACGATCGACGATATATTCCTCATCAACTGTCGATAATATTCACCGTTATTCAACATTTTTTTTTTAATTTCTAAAATCATTTTGATCAAGAAACATAATAATTAGTTACCTTGGAGAGGAATTTATCAGGTTTGCCGATTTTGTACAAGATTCCGACGACAGCTATCTTAGTTGTTACATTCGAATCTGTGTTGAGGTGCACCATGTGTAACTCCATGTCGTACCTATTACGAAAAAAATTCTTTATTTAATTTTGTTACGTCGCAAATTATGAATCACAAAATATTATTATAAATACGTAATTAGTTATCAATTATAAGTACCTTCTGCCATTGATAGTGTGCTCCGACGGAGAGTGCCAGTGGGCATATCGGAGAGAAAACTCGGTCCCGTTTATTAATATCGACCCGGCATCCCCCGACCACTGAATCTGCACCACCGAAAAAATAAAATAAAAATTTAATAGGATGCAAAATATTATACTACTATATTGTTCATCAAATTGATCATCTGAAGTAGTTGACTGCATGTCCTTACAAAAACATATATGTAACAATCTTAATCAAATCAAAATTATTATAATAGTACTTAAGAACAACAAGCCAGCTATCTAATTGTGACTGAATGAATATTTTAATCATTCAAATAATTGATTTAAAATAAAAAAATAAAAATCTTACTTGAATATCGTGACCTCTATTTCTGACCGTTGCGTTAGAAACTCGGTAAATCCTCTTCTCCGGCTTGGAAATAATCCTCACTCGAGCGTTCGACATATCGACCGGAGATTGCATGGTTCCGTTATTGCATGCAGCCCATTCTTCCTTTATGTGACCCCATTTTCTCGGACCCTTTTCGCCTTTCTCCGCGTAATCGAATTCTCTTTCGTCCTCTGATTATTTCAATTAAAACAAAAAATAAATAAAAATTGGAAATTAAACTGATCAGTTCATGAAAATACATCATACAAATATAGATACATACCTACTTCTTGAGCATGAATGGATTTTGCAGCAAGCAAAACGAGGCAGGCGACGATCAGAATATCGAAACAAGACTTGTTTAATTTGCTCTTAATCATTTTTTTTTAAATTAATTTGTTTTTTTTTTTTGCAGGGGGGACAACTATATGTATTATTTGGGAGAAACAGAAGAAAACAATGATGTGAGAATCTTTGTTTGGAAATGGTTTGATTATATTATAGGGTGTATATATAAATATAAAAAAGGGAGTGGTGGTTAATAAATTAATGGGGAGGGGCTTTCCTGTAAGTTTCTTGCATAGTTGTAGCATCGGCGTGTGAACGTGATATTTCAATATTAAATAAATATAGTAGGACTGGCAGATTTAGGCACCTAATGAGATCTAACCACACGTATTTCAATTTTAATATGGCTTAATTTCACTTTCTACCCTTGAAATATAGCGTTCTGACACTTTGCACCCTTAAAAAAAGTTAATAATACTTTGCACCCTCGAAAATACACCATCAATTGAATATTTAAAACTAAATAAGGGTAATTATTTCATTTTTATTGGTTTTTTTTTCCAGAGTGTAAAATAAAAAAATTAATTATTATTTTCTTCTACCTCCAACATAATTTCAAGCATACAAAATGCAAAATAAAAAAAAAAAAAAAAAGAAAAAAAAAGAAATCACAACGAATTACTGAAAAACACTATATTTTCTTACTAAAATAAATATTTTTTCTCACTAAATTATTCGGTTGATGGATCTTTTATTGTAATTAGTGAAAATATTTGGTAAATCTTTGGAAGAAAATATAATTTTCAAATAACTTGATAATAAAATAGTTTACGGATTTTTTTTATTCTTTTTTTTTTTTTTTGTGATTTTTTTAAGATGTTGATGAAATGTATTTTTATTTTTGCACTTTCTAGTTTTAAAAGGATTGACGATATAAAAAAAAATTGATTCGACATTTGACATCCTAGCTAAAAGAATTCCAATAAAAATATTAAATTACTTTTATTAACATTAAAAATTCATCCAGAATGCGTAATGCATGATTTACTGTGTTCGGAAGATGTAAAGTGCTATTAATTTTTTTTTTTTTTTTTTTTATCCAGAATGCGTAATGCATGATTTACTGTGTTCGGAAGATGTAAAGTGCTATTAATTTTTTTTTTTTTTTTTTTTTTTTTTGCAGAATGCCAAAAAACTATAATTCAATGGTGCAAAGTGAGATTAAGCCATTTTAATAAACATTATTTAACAAAAGGAAATAGTAAATTTTCTTTTGGCTCTTACCTACAGAATTGATGTGGCATTTGGTAATCACGAAATTTGAAATTGTAAAATCGAAAGCGTGGAAATGGCAGTATACGTGTTCTTGATTTAAATAAATATAATTATGTAAATATTGGCTAAGCAATTGACACTTTGTTTTAAAATTTGGATTTGGAGAAGAAATTGTCTTGAACAAAATCGAATCCCTTAATTAATATCTTAATCTACTGCAGTATTCGGTGGGTACAAAATCCAATTTAATAAAACAATGTTTTGAAGTCCATATGCTAGCTGTGTTAATTAATACAACTCTATAACTCTTTCTTTCCTTATTTTTTTGGCCTTTATTTTTCCTTTAATTCTCAATGAACCCCTAACTATAGATGTGAAATAGGTAACCCATGTCCCTCAGGGGATGGCCTAGCGGTTGGAGCAAGAGAGCTTGTGTCAATTGACCCAAGTTCGAATCCCCTTGCCAACGGTCGCTAGGTCGAGCTTGTCACACATGGTTAGCCTAGTGTGGTTTACATCTCTCGTATAGTTTGCAAGCTATTATACGAGAGTGTAGGTTTACCCAGTGCACCTATATGGTTGGCTGCGGGTTCCTTCATTACCAAAAAAAAAAAAAAAAAAAAAAAAAAAAAAAAAAAAAAAAAAAAGGTAACCCATGTTTTTGTGATAGTCCAAAATCACATAAGAGATGTATAAAGCACTAGTTAAATTGTGTGCAACGAGTTCGATCTAGAAAGTATTAATAGAATAAATTGAAATGAGGTTTGCATATCTTGGAGCAGATATCTGGAAACAAATATACACAAGATTGAGACAGGTATGTGGTGGAGTTAAGAAGGTTGTAGGAGTTCCCTCTCCTTTCATAAACCAACCAAGTTGTAATTAATATATAGGGTAAATTACGACCATTTCTTGAGGTATGATCAAATTACGAAATTTTTTTTCATGTTTGGATAATTACATATACCCCTCAATTGTGAATTTTCTTACACCTTCACTCTTACGGTGTTACATTCAACATAATCATCAAGATTCCGTGAATGTTCACTAGTTTGTACTCGTTTTGTGCAAAACTACAGTTTATGATGCACAACAATCTGATATATACAAGCCAAAAAAACAAATTGGAGCTCAAATGGGATAAAACGGGTACAAAATTAAGAATATTCCATACAATCTAGAAGATTCTATTAAATTTGAAACTGCAAGGGTGGAGTGTACAAAAAATTAGATTTTAGAAGGATGGTTGTAATTATCCAAACAGAAGGGGGTTTCCATAATTTAACCATACATCAGGGATGGTTGTAATTTACCCTAATATATATATAATCACTATTGTCACGGGATCGAAATTTATCCAGTTCACTTTAAGTGGCTATGTATATAGAATATGTAGGCATCATCGAATTATCCTCAATTCCTCATTAAAGTAGGAAATAGTCCATAAAAATATTTATTGCTTCATTCAAAATAATGGTGTCTTATACAATTTCAATAAGAAAAAAAACAACTCTATGTCCCTAATTACTCTAATTACTCATCTACCAACAAGAAAGTAAAATAAAAGAAAATAAATAAAAATGAAATAAAATATATATATTTATTGATCGTATCAAATATCAAGGGATTTTCTTATAAATAAAAAATATATTCGTTACGACTAAAAGTTATAGTCTTTCCGTACTAAAAATTACGTGTTTTAAATAAAATAGTAGGCATGAAAAAGAAAGAGGTAAGCATGTTGCGTAACAATTGATGATTTAGCATCCGACAGAGCAAGGGTATTATTGAACTTAACCTTTTGTATACACGTCAGCAATCAGGTCATCTCCAATATATTTATATCCATCCTTGTCTACTATTTATTTATTTATTTATTTATTTATTTATTTATTTATTTATATGTTTTGGAATTCTGAAAATTGAATAAGTTTCAATTTGAGGAGTTAAATGAGCTGCTTATGGTTGGTTTGGCGAGCTCGAATCCAGAGTTCGAGCTCGAGCTCATTTTGAATTATTTTTCTAATTTATTTATATTATTAAAAAAATTATATTATATTAAAAAAAATTATTAACTGTAATTTTTTTTTAATTTTAATATGTAGTTTTTATATTATTATTCTAATATTTTACATTAATATATATAATTTAAATTAACAATGATGTATGAAAAATTAAATTTAAAATAAAAAAAGGCTCGAGAGCCGGCTCGTGAGGTCACAAACAACTATAAAGAAGTTCGAGTTCGCTCGTTAGATAGCTTGAGCTCGAAAAACTCGAGTTTGAGTCTGAATTTTTTCGAGTCGACTCAGTTCATTTACATCCATAGTTAGACTGCCCATTACAAAATTACCATGATTTACATACTCCAACTCTGTCGGGCCAATGGATAGGGGCCCTGAGACGAGGGATTTCACCATTTTGTACAAGTAGTTTGTTGAAAAATTTGGGCAAAATAAAAGAGAGAAGATTTACTCTTGAAATTACTATTAGTCCACTACCTTAAGAGATATAATCTAGAAAATAATAAATGTTAATGGGGAGCTGAATTTATTTTTAAATAATCAAATCATGAAAAGAAAATCAGTAATTTATCCTTAGATACAGTTAAACCTCTATAAATTAATACAGTTGGGACCATCACAATTTCATTAATTTAGCGAAATATTAACTTATTGATAAATTATAATTATTAATTTATACATTAATTAATAATTTATTAATTTATGAAATTATTTTTATTATTATTTTCAATAAATACATGTTTTTTTATTTTTTTACGTGTATATTATTCATTGTAACATTAGTTCAATGCAATATATAGCCCGTTTCACGAACGGAAACTCTTAAAGCAACAATGGTATTGAACAATTCATGTTGAGTTATTCGAAAGCTATACCACAAGTTCTAACCATGTTAAGAAAAAGTGAGGCACGAGATTGATGGTATGTGAACTTCAACAAGAAACAAACGACAATTAAATTATATTTTATTAAACTTTCATAGGTCTATAAAATATGTATTGTACCATAGAATATAAGAATTATTTTTATGAATTATTAATTTATATATTATATGGGGCTTCTTAAAAATTTCGAATGTGTATTATCTTATAAATTTAGCGAATTATTAATTTAGCACGTTGTCCCGGAGTCGTGACTGGGAAAATTTATTATTTAAGCGAGGTTATTAATTTATCGGGTATTAATTTATTGAAGTTCTACTGTATATGGATCTTGAAATTTAATTATATATTAATCCCATAAAATAAATTTTTAGGATAATAAATTATAATAATTCTTTTTTTTCTTATGAATTCATAACTGTCAATTCGTAATTGCAAGCAACTACATTATATAATAACACAGTTTGTCGCTTCAAATAACAAACAAAAATGAAAAGAACAAAAAAAAAGGAAAAAACAATTGGAAACTCAACTTCCATGATTGTGCAAATTTTGACTATGATGATTAAATGGGAGGAGACCTATTTTGACCAGTGATTGTATTTCGGTAATTTTCAAAACCCAAATAGTAATGTACAGGAAGGTCAGTTCGTATTGTTTTATGTCTTCACACTTGCATTTTGTAACTTTCCATAAAAAAAATAAGAAAATTATATTTCTCGAGAAAATTGGCTAGACACCCTTAATTATGGACTTATATAGGTGGAAATCATTCTGTTAACTTTGAACAATAAAATTAATATGAATTAAATTAAATTAGGGCTTATTTGACCAAATTCCCTCATATAATTTTCTCATTAAGATAAGACTAATTTTAAAACACCAATTAGTGAGAACTGAGAACTACTCACTTGATTTCCAAAAATGCCCCTAATAATTCATCCGAAAATAGAAAAACAAAATCATATCTTTCTCCAAAATAACTCCTTAAGTATCTGCTCACTCCCCAAAATCCCTCAAAA